ATAGAATTATGAATAAGCTTATTGGTTTCTCTTCTCTGTTCTCGTCTTTGTGTTTCCTGTTTTGATCCGCAGAGAAAAACTCTGAGATCCTCTGACATGCAGAGATCCAGGAAGAGGATGTTTTCAGTGAGTGTCAAACTGCTGCTGGTCTCAGTGGATCCAGCTGCAGGATGGAGGGAACATCTGTCCACAGGCTGCTGGGTGAGTCCATCTGCTGGATGTGTTGGTGTGGAAATGTGGAGAGACGATCACTGCTGCTTCCCACAGCAGAGCTGATTAAAGCTCCAACTAACCTGAGACTCATTTCTCTGCAGCTCTGATCTCTCTGCTGAGCCGCTCAACAGACCAAGGTTACAACCTGATTCTGGTAACTCTAGATCTAGATTTTATCCTGGGGAGCTGATGAAATGATGAATGTTTTATTATTTCAGTTCGTCTGACTGTGAGTCCCAGCAGATCTCAGTTCTTTGAAGGAGAATCAGTGACTCTGATCTGTGAGGATGAAAACAGCTCTGATGGAGGGACTGTGAGGAGAAACACAACCTTAGAGACCAGGACTGAGTGTGAAGGATGGGGAGTACCAGTTGGTTCTAGCTGTAACATGACCTACCTCCTCCAAAGGGACTCTGGCCTGTACTGGTGTGAGTCCATGTCTGGATCCTCCAGCAGCAGCAGCAGCATCCAGCTCTCTGTCTCTGGTAAGATCAGACTGTGGAGTTAGTGTTGCTGTGTGGAAATGGATGAAATGCTGTAGTTTGTCTCTGTGTTGAGGTGGATCAGTGATCCTGCAGAGTCCTGTCCTCCCTGTGATGGAGGGAGATGACGTCACTCTGAGCTGCAGAGCAAAGAGTCCAGCCCACAACCTCCCAGCTGCTTTCTATAAAGATGGCTCCTTCATTGGTGATGGACCATCAGGTCACATGACCCTCCTCCATGTCTCCAGCTCTGATGAAGGCCTCTATAAGTGCAGCATCAGCGGTCAGGGAGAGTCTCCATCCAGCAGGATCTCTGTGGAAGGTCAGCAGCTTCTGATAATTTAATCTTTCTCAAATCACAGCAAAATAGACTGGAGTCTGGAACAGACACAACAGTTTTTGCTTTAAAAATTATCTGCATACTAATCTGATCAAACACAGTTTAAAGTTTCATAGTTTTCCTGTTATCAGTGTGAATAATAAGTAATAAATCTGTCAGTCTGTCACAAACAAGCCTTTAGTTTCTACTCTGAATATTGAATTGATCTGGTTGGATTTTCTCTGCAGAAAAACGAACAGCCAGAGCTCTGCCCACTACTGAAGTGCTTACCACGGTAGACTGGAGATATGATGATCTGTCCCCTATGGAAGATCGTGACATATGGAATATATATGATATGAGCCCTCCTCGTTATGCTGAAGAAAATCCCATAATCATAGCTCAGCCCACTGTAACAGCTGAGGCCTCTTCAGAAGCTCCGCCCCTTTGTGTGACTCCGCCCTCTTCCTCCTCCCCTCTCCTCATCATCACTCTGCTCTGCCACCTGGTGGTGATGTTCCTGTTCTTCATCTGCTCTTTCCTCTTGGGGTTTTCATCTGGACTCAGAGCCAAAGGTAAAACTCTGAATCATTTACTGACTGATGATCTTCACTGGTTCTGGTTCTGTTGATTTAGTTTCTTCAGTTTATAACCGTCTGTTATTGAAACTGTTTCTACCTTATTTGTTTTAGCTGTGATAAATATATTTTTTCTCTAACTTTCTCTAAATACAGGAAGTGACCTGTCACCATGTTTGAAGATGACTCCGCCCCCCCAGGCTGAGCTGGTACCAGATGATGATGATGACGTCACCACAGAGCATCACTTCTGACCCAATCAGTCTCATCCACTTTGTTTTCTGGGAAAATCGTTTTATTTTCTGAATAAATAAAACTTCATAAATAAATAAAACTGATGATTTTCTTTTAATGCCATCAATCCAAGCTGACACCATGAATCACAGCACACAACATTTTTAATATTGTTTTTAATCAGCATTAGATAACTTGTTAAAATATGTTTTTACATTTTGTTATAATTGTCACTCTGTGCTGACAGTAAAATATGAGACAGATAATCTGATAATCTCTCCATGTCTCTGTTTTCTTACTGCCGTTTGCAGAAATAAAATCCTCCCGGTCAGAAACAACCAATCAGAGCCAGTAGGACGGTCTTGGTGCTGTCAATCACTCTTGTGTATGTGCTGCTCACACCCTCCTCCTGCTCTACACTGCAGCTCCTCTCCCGCAGCAGAACCTGCAACAAATGAGTAGGTTGTTTGGCTAAAGAGTTTTGTTCACATCAGGTTGTTTCTCCATTATTGATCCATCTGCTGATCATCAGTAATCATGAGCATGTACACTTACCGGCCACTTTATTAGGTACACCTTCCTGATCCCGGGTTGGACCCCTTTTGCCTTCAGAACCGCCTTAACCCTTTATGGCAGAGATTCAACAGTACTGGAAACATTCCTCAGGGAGTCTGGTCCTTATTGACCTCATAGCATCAAACAGTTGCTGCAGATTGGTCAGCTGCACATCCATGATGTGAATCTCCGGTTCCACCACCAAAGGTTTCTACTGGACTGAGATCTGGTGACTGTGGAGGCCAGTCGAGTTCAGTGAACTGATTCTTCAAGAAACCAGTCTGAGATGATCCAGGCTTTATGACATGGAGCGTTGTCCTGCTGGAAGTATCCATCAGAAGATGGTCCACTGTGGCCTTAAAGGGATGGACGTGGTCAGCAGCAATACTCAGGTAGGCTGAGGCGTTGACACGATGCTCAGATGGTACTAATGGGCCCAAAGGGCCAGGAAAATATCCTCCCACCATTACACCAGCCTGACCCGTTGATACCAGGCAGGATGGATCCAGGCTTCATGTTGCTGACGCCAAATTCTGACCCGACCATCTGAATGTCGCAGCAGAAATCCAGACTCTTCAGACCAGGCAACATCTTTCCATCTTCTATTGTCCAGTTTCTGTCAGCCTGTGTGAATTGTTGCCTCTGTTTCCTGTTTTTAGCTGACAGGAGGCACCCGGTGGGGTCTTCTGCTGCTGTAGCCCAGCCGCCTCAAGGTTTGACGTGTTGAGCGTTCAGAGATGCTCTTCTGCAGACCTCGGTTGTAACTAGTGGTTATTTGAGTTACTGTTGCTGTTCTATCAGCTCCAATCAGTCTGGCCATTCTCCTCTGATCTCTGACCTCAACAAGGCATTTGTGCCTACAGAACTGAGATACACTGGATATTTTCTCTTTTTTGAACCGTTCTCTGTAAACCTAGAGATGGTTGTTAGTGAAAATCCCAGTAGACCATCAGTTTGTGAAAAACTCAGATCAACTCGTCTGGCACCAACAACCATGTGTAAATATTAAATTATGTCAAAGTCCAGTTTCTAGATATTTACATTTAGTTCAGTAACAACTTGAACACAAGATACTTCTAGGACTAGTTTTACTTTTACTTGAGTAATAACTTTATGAATCTACTTTAAATCACAGTTTGTTTTCCTTTACTGTGAATAATTTCACTGAATGAGGAACAAACATGTTTTAACCAAAAATACTCCAAAGTGAGACCTCCTGTTTACACACCAGCTTTGTTGTTTTTATGTTGTTTACTGTCTGGTTAATTGATCATCTGGAGATCAATTAAAGACACAACAAGCAAATATTTCACACTGTTCTAACAAATATACGTCAGTTACTGTAATTATTAGTTTCATACTTTGGATGTTCAAATCATTTTATAATAAATTGTTTCTTCTGCCTTAATCTGTTAGTGATTTTATTTTGAATCATATATTTCAGTGTCTTAAATACCAGAATTTGAATTATTCTCTGTCCGATTGCATAATTTTTAAATATTAAACAGCTGTTCAAAAAACTATGGCAAGCCAGTTCAACATTTAATCAAAGCCATTTATATGGCTGTAATTTAATTTTCACAGCTAATGTTATTTTGATAAAAAACAATTACATTATTTCCAAATATAATTAGTCTGTGAACATATTTTATATTAAAATATCACCAGATGTCCCAGTAAAATTTGTTGTTGCCTAAAATACCATGTTGATTGTAATTACTTTATGTTTAAAGTTTGAAATGATATCTTACCAGTTAAAATGTATTTTTGTCCAAAACTAAACTAGAGATATCTGAAATAGTTTTTAATTTTATTGAGTTTCTCCTAATCAGATCTCAGGTTCAATTATCCAAACTATTTATTACATAAAAAACTTATTTATGGAAACACAAAATATCTGAATGGAAAATGTAATGTCATATTTCTGGGAAGAATAACATTTAAGATAGCCAAACTGTTCAGATATTTGTGGTTAATTTTGCAACACAGAATTGCAAACATGTGATACATATTCAGTCTGGCTAATAAATGCTTTAACTGCTTGCCATAAGTGTGTTTTCCCAGTATTCCCCCAGATTGTTTGCAGACTGGCAGATGTTCACTCGCCTGTCCTGCATTGGCTTTGGGTTCTGGTTGTAAGTAGCTCCTGTTTTTATTTCCCTCCATGGCTGATGAATTTCTTTTATTTGACATGTCAGATTGTTTGGCCTCAGTTTGCTGGAGTTAGTGATACCAATCAGTGTCAGCATATTTTTTCAATCAGGTCAAAGGTCATGCTGTTTACAGTTTCTCCTGTCAGTTTGAATCTTTAAGATTTTCTTGAAGTTGTTCTAGTTTTCCAGTCAAAGTTACATTCTGGGTTCATCATTGTGTTGCTGTGGTACAGATTGTTCTGATTTGTGATGAGTTGACACTGTTTATGTTCTGTAATGTAAAATTGTAAAGGTTTCAGCTGAACTGTGTGAAACAGAGGCAGGTTTTTAGTTCTCCAGGGTCTCAATGTATATTTTTCGGTTTATGAACTCAGGTTCTCTGACCTCAGCTGTTGTGCAACAAGTAAAATCAGAAGAGCTGAGAGGCCCGACGGCCATTAACCCTTAAATGGACACGCACACATATATACATACATATACATATATTTGGAAATTATTTCTTTTCCATTTTCTGATGTATCTGGGCTAAAATTACACATTTTAATTATTACTTTTAAATGTAGTGTTTGTATCCCTGCGGACACATTGGTGTATAAAAAGTGACACTTTTGCATGTTTGTAATAACTAATGAAACAAATTTTTAAATATTGTAAGCAGTGAATCTACCATGTTTTTGTATGTTTTGTATTTCAATTTAAAAAAATACCACAAATCATTATTAATTCAGTTTATGTAGCAACAGCTTAATGTCTCGAATACATGAAACTGAATCCAACATTCATACTGAGCATGTAGCGACTGTGGATTGGTAAAACTCTCCTTTAACAGGAAGAAACCTCCAGCAGAACCAGAACCTGACTCAGTACCAATCTGACACCAACATTAGAAACTCTGCACCAAAATACACTGAATACAGATATAATAAATTAAAACAATCCACATTTGAGCATGAAATAAAGCTTAAGCAATATTTTAATAGAATGTCTGTAAATTTAATGACTCTAACTAAAAGAAAATCTGAGGACATTTCACGTCTTGTTATCTAAGCTGTTTAAATGTAATTTGTATATTTTTTCAAAAAATATATATTAAATCAGTCGTACGGAACAACTTTTTACAAAATAAAATCCTCTCATCAGTTTGTTCATGAAAAATAACCCCTTCCTCACAATGTAAGTCATTTCTCATGCAGTCCGCCATTTTGAACTTTATGCTCATCTATCTGTTTGTTTCCTAATGCTGAGGTCACATGACCTCAACATTTCCTCTTAGATGTGAAAATGTAGCTTCAGCGTTTGAATTGTCTCTTCCTTGTTTAATTCATGGATCCATCCAGAATGATTGTTACCTGGAGCAGAAACCATCAGGCAGAGTCCAACTTCACCTGGTGTTCCCACTGTAACCAGGTCACAGTCCAAACTAGGTCCAATAAGATCAACTCTATCTCCATGTTGTGCAACTCGTTGCATTCAAGTGCATGTGAGAAATATCTGCTCTCTGCAGATGATATGGAGGAATAAAAGTGACTAATTTCCTGAATATATCTTTAAATAACACACAGGACTCGGATTCCTCCGACCAAAACACTTTGTCAGGTTATGATTCCTGATCTGTCCAAACAGAAAGTCTCTTCTGACTCCTTCTGGCTCCAGCCGGTTCTCTGCAAACATTGTTTCCTGCTCAAAGTGACCTGAATCTGTACCATAACTTTTTCCTTCCAGCATTGCAAAAACATTTCTCTCTAAAAATTACAACCTGCCAGCAAAAGTCGTTTCACTGTAAACTGTAAGAAAGTTTCTGTATAAATGTTTAAATGTGTTCAAGTGAAATATAGTCAGGATTCTTTTTGTGGTTCTAAGTAGAGAAAAGGAAACTGTTAGCATGCTAGCAAGAAGGAAAGACCAATCAGACATTTCTGTTTTCAGGAAGAAGACCCAACAGAACCAGCAGCGGTCGGATCATAAAGTGACGCCATGATGGGAGCATCTCCACAATATCTGCTCTGTAAGAACAAAACAGTTGATGAGAAGTTTCTCTGCTGTAACTCTGGCCTTCATTAGCAAACCTGAAAATAACGGAAATAAAAGTTTGACATGAAAATAAAGAAAAATGATGTAGAAACCGGCATGAGAGATGAACAGCCTGCAAATGCAGTCAGAATAATGTCACACTTTTACATTTAATATGTGAAGAAGGTCAGTGTGATGTCATAAATATTTATGGAGGTAAAATGTCTGTAAAATTCTCATTTTTAGATGTTAAATTGTAACCAATGACTTTATTCCTCCTCAGTTTCCTGTTTGCTGATTTGCTGCATAACAACTGAAGGTTGGTTCATTCTATCAACTCCATGATCGCATTATTACAGTAAACATTAGGGAAGGGAGATGTAAACAATATGATGCCAACCTGTAAACATAATATTATTAACAATAAAAATCCCCGTTCAGTCTCTCCAGCTGCTCTGACTGCGAGTCCCAGCACATCTCAGTTCTTTGAAGGAGAATCTGTGACTCTGACCTGTGAGGATGAAAACGGCTCTGATGGATGGACTGTGAGGAGAATCACAACCAGAAGATCCGAGAAGGAGTGTGGAAATGGATGGGGGAAATCAGCTGGTTCCACCTGCAGCATCTCTTTGGGCTCAGATGACTCTGGTGTGTACTGGTGTGAGTCCACATCTGGATCCACCAGCAGCAACAGCATCCAGCTCTCTGTCTCTGGTAAGATCAGACTGTGGAGTTAGTGTTGCTGTGTGGAAATGNTGCAGCATCAGCGGTCAGGGAGAGTCTCCATCCAGCAGGATCTCTGTGGAAGGTCAGAAACTTTTCTTTGATTTTGTAACATGTAGATCACTAAACTCTGTGTTTGGATATTTAGTTTTCTTCCAATAATCTGAACTTTCTAGTTTCTAAAGGGGAGTTTTTGATTTTTTTTTCTAGCATATAAATTTAAAATATTGATTTAAATCTTCTGATATAAATTAGTCAGAAAGTTCATCATGTCTGAATGTTGTTCTGTCATCAGTGAGAAACTTCATATTCCTCTGTCTGATGATGTTTTATTTTAATGCTTCTTATTTTCTGAAATCACATTAAAATGTGTTTGGAACAAGTTTGTAACAGATGCAAGAATAAATGCTTTGTTCTCTGATAAAACTCAGTTTAATGTTTTATTTGTCTTCCAGAAATCAGTGTTAATAATAACTAATGAACCTGTCAGTCAGACACAAACACGGCGTCAGTTTCATCTCTAAACATCAAATTGATCAGGTTGGATTCTCTCTGCAGAAAAACCATCAACCATATTTCCATCCTCTGCAGAAGCTCCGCCCACCAGTGAAATCCCGCCTATTACCGAAGCGCTGTCAAATTGTGTAACTCCGCCCTCTTTCTCCTCCCCTCTCCTCATCGTCACTCTGCTCTGCCACCTGGTGGTGATGTTCCTGTTCTCCATCTGCTCTTTCCTCTTGGGGTTTTCATCTGGACTCAGAGCCAAAGGTAAAACCCTGAATCATTTACTGACTGATGATCTTCACTGATTCTGGTTCTGTTGATTTAGTTTCTTCAGTTTTCAACTGACTGTTATTAAAAGTGTTTTTACCTCATTTGTTTTCATGATAATAAATTCATTTTCTCTTTAATTTTCTCTAAATACAGGAAGTGACCTGTCACCACGTGGGAAGATGACTCCGCCCCCCCAGGATGATGATGACGTCACCACAGAGCATCACTTCTGACTCAAACAATCCCATCATGCTCTGCTCCTGCTGTTTTCTTCCTCTTTATTTCTAGGAAAATTGTTTAATTATCTGAATAATTAAACTTATGATATTATTTTAATTCCATCAATCCAAGAATAAAAAAAAATCACAACCAGCAATTTTTAGCAAAAGATTTCTCAAATCTGAAATGAGTGGCTTTTATATAAAAACTATATTTGTACATATTTGTTAAAATTGTCTTTATGTTCTGACAGTAGAATATGAGACAGATAAAGATGGAGCTCCTCTGGCTCCACCTAGTGGTCCTACTGCCACCAGCAGAAACGCAGCACTCCCAGTCAGAAACAACAAATCAGAGCCAGGAGGAGAGTCTTAGTGCTGTCAATCATGCTTGTGTATGTGCTGCTCAGTCCCTCTCTATTGCTCTCTGCTACTCTACAGCTCCTCTCCCTCAGTGGAGCTTGTGACAAACGTTCAGGCTAGTTAGCATGACCACTGTTGGAAGCTAATAAACAGTTTTACATTCAACTCGGTTTGTTTCTCTGCCACTAGCACAGCTGTTGCCAATCGACAATCTTCAGTTTGTACATGGAACCAACAACCAGCAGCATGTAAACGAAGGTGACTGACACCCTGTAAGCTTTACCTCATGTTATCATTTTATTCCATCATTAAAAATAAACCTGGAGTGTTAAAAACATCTGGTTGAACTTTGTATCTGCTGAGTTCATCATAGGAGCCACTTCTCAGTGAAACGCTGGAGAAAAGGGTTGATAAAGGGTTAATGGAGAAACGATGCTGTGACTTCCTGAAGGCTGAGAGTCAGAGAGAGATGGAGCTTCTTAAAGAGACAGAGGCGTTAAAATGCAACGTCAGATTTACTGAATGATTGTCAGAGTTACTTTGAACCAAATTTACTGATAAAACCCAGTGATACCAGAAACCCAGAGACCCGATCAGCCACTCTGAGAGTCTCACCAGATAAACATGGTCATGTCCTTCTGTTTCTGGTTGTGTTTCATGACATTAGCTTTGAGGAAGTCACATTTCTATATGATATCAAGACTTCTTAAGCAACAGTAAAGTTCCTGTTTCTGTGGTCGTCCTTCAAACTGTTTATATGTGATCATCCAGTTTGTGCATCTCTACCTACTTTAGTTCTGCTCAGCTGAGGATTCAGAGGGATGCAGTGGCTGTTCAGGAGGTTTCAGGAGAGAAACAGTTTAAAACTGATGAACCAAAAGCTGCAGAAGTTTGAGTTGGTCTGACAAGATCAGGAAGCTGAGGTTCAAAGTGTTAGAGCTCAGAGCAAAAGAAGAAGTCAAGAAAGGTTAGAGATAATTTCTGAAGCGTCAAAATGTTCTGCAAAGTAACTTTGTGATTAAGAAAAGAGGAAGAGGAAGAGGATGTTTTCAGTGAGTGCCAAACTGCTGCTGGTCTCAGTGGATCCAGCTGCAGGATGGAGGGAACATCTGTCCACAGGCTGCTGGGTGAGTCCATCTGCTGGATGTGTTGGTGTGGAAATGTGGAGAGACGATCACTGCTGCTTCCCACAGCAGAGCTGATTAAAGCTCCAACTAACCTGAGACTCATTTCTCTGCAGCTCTGATCTCTCTGCTGAGCCGCTCAACAGACCAAGGTTACAACCTGATTCTGGTAACTCTAGATCTAGATTTTATCCTGGGGAGCTGATGAAAGGATGAATGTTTTATTATTTCAGCTGCTCTGACTGTGAGTCCCAGCAGATCTCAGTTCTTTGAAGGAGAATCAGTGACTCTGATCTGTGAGGATGAAAACAGCTCTGATGGAGGAACTGTGAGGAGAAACACAACCAGAGGAACCAGGACTGAATGTGAAGGATGGGGGAAATTAGATGGCCTGATGTGTAACATCAGCTACTTGTTCCCACATGACTCTGGCCTGTACTGGTGTGAGTCCATGTCTGGATCCTCCAGCAGCAGCAGCAGCATCCAGCTCTCTGTCTCTGGTAAGATCAGACTGTGGAGTTAGTGTTGCTGTGTGGAAATGGATGAAATGCTGTAGTTTGAGTCTGTGTTGAGGTGGATCAGTGATCCTGCAGAGTCCTGTCCTCCCTGTGATGGAGGGAGATGACGTCACTCTGAGCTGCAGAGCAAAGAGTCCAGCCCACAACCTCCCAGCTGCTTTCTATAAAGATGGCTCCTTCATTGGTGATGGACCATCAGGTCACATGACCCTCCTCCATGTCTCCAGCTCTGATGAAGGCCTCTATAAGTGCAGCATCAGCGGTCAGGGAGAGTCTCCATCCAGCAGGATCTCTGTGGAAGGTCAGCAGCTTCTCTTTAGTTTTGAAAACATGTAGATCTGCCCAGTTTTACAATAAACTAATATTTTTCCTTTTGTTAGTTTTGATTCTCACCAGTAGAGGGCAGTGTGAACTGACTGATTCAGATAATTTATAGTAAACACAGACCATAGAGGGAAAGGACACTAAATATATTTATGTCATACAACAAGATTTGCTGTTATTAACCAGATTTTCTGCTGATTTCAGTCATGAGACATTAATTCAGTTATTTTGTATCATCTGAGTGTTCCAGTTCTGCAGGTGTTAATTATTAATGACTTTAAATTATCTGCAGAAAAACGTCGAACTACAGCCCCGCCCACAACTGGAGTCCCGCCCACGACCCGAGCCCTGGCGATCACTTTACCTCTTCCTCCTCCCACGGCCTCCCTCCCCATCAGACTGGTCTGCCACCTTGTGGTGGTTTGTCCGTATTGCATCTGTACTCTCCTCATGGTTTCTGCATTTCTCCGAAGAACTAAAGGTAAAACTCTGAATCATTCACTTATTCGACAATCAGTCAATGAATTCATCAATTCGTCACTGATTTTCTACTTTTCATGCAAAATTTGTCTAAATTCAGGAAACGTCCCACCTGTGTCAGAGGAAGTGACATCATCATTCCTTGCTGGGCAGGGATTGGACGATGTGTATGAAAATGTCATCAGTGATGTGACCACAGAGCATCACTTCTGAAGTAAACTGGACTCCAAACTAACAGCAAAAAATTTAAATTACTCATCTTGTAAAATTTCAGAGCCAATTAATGTCTCTCTGTTTTATTTATAGTGAAATATATTAAATTCAAATAATTAATTTCCAACAAACAACACAGACTGGACTCTACGAATGAAAACTAGAAGAAAACACACCAGCAGCAGTAATTTTAGAAAATGTAAACACTTAGACATTGGTTGGTTTCCATTCGACTAAAACAGATGATCAAACTACATTTCCCAGCATTCATAGTGCTGAAGTCACAAAGTTAAAACACAGTGCTGTGTGATACAGTGCTGTTATTTTGGTGAGCGACACAATCCAAGCAAGGGTCACAAACTCACATGTGGAAAACTTTTCTTCCATCCTGCTGCATGTGAAAAACGACGTTTTAAACATCTGAAGTGAAACTTGGAGAACTTTTACAGAGTAAAGTTGGTGCAACCAGCACTGCCAGTTCTCAGCAGCTGTGCACGTTTATCTGCAGCCTAACTTTCTGCAGGTCTGCTGAAGCTTCTTCTGTAAATGTTGTGGGACCTCCATTTGGTCAGATGACTTTTATTTTTGCGGGCCCACTTCCTGTGTTGGCCCAAAGTCTCCTGCTTCTTTAAAGCTTTGCTCACAGTTTCCTTCCTCCCCCGTCTCCACTGTGGCTGTGTGGAGCTCTGCTTGGTGTCAAACTGATGACCTTCTTCAAACCTGCATTTTAAACTGGATTACATGAACTGGTTCTGCTGATCCAGAACTCCGCTGGGATTCTGCCATTAAATATCCACCAGAGCGTCCACTGAGGCCAAGTCATCCTCACTCCATTTAAGATGTCGCCTGTTTTGTTTGGATCAGAATCTTCACTTGGATTTACAGAAGCCGAGTTACAACTATGGACTTTTGATAATGAGGATCTGGTGACAAATATTTTGTGTTTCTTGTTATCACTTTAATATTTCCACCCAAACAGAAAGCACTGCCTCCTGTTTTCATTCTCACCTCAGGATGTTTTGAAGGAAGCTCTTCTGATGCTGCGTTTGTAGCTGCTCTCAGCCTTTTAGCATCTCTGCTTTAGGTTATGTGGCGAGCTAGCCAGGAGCCTATACTCTGAATGTTTGTGTGAATGTATTTTATGGTTTTTTTTGTTTAGAAACATGGATTTCTTTAACAAAGTTGGTATCAATGTTCCTCCTTCTGTCTTCATTACTGATGACAGTAATGTTGATAGCGTGACTGGTTGCATAGATTTAATTTAAGGGATATTTTATATGTTTTATTTGAAGGGTTGTGCATTAGACTGACATGATGCTGCATAAACAGGAAGGAGTCATCATGAATGTTTGTTGCCATGAAGCATCATTTGATAAATAATGACACTTTTAATACAAAGTTCAGACTTTTAGTGGACTATTAATGCATGTTTTAATGTGCATTTGCCTTAAAAAGTGTCAATATTTACCAAATAATGCAAAGTTGACTCTTTTACTGGACTTTTAATGCCACCTTTGGTGTAACTTTGAATTAAAAGTGTTGTTATTTACTGAATAACAACAGTTATAAACTTTTACAAAGGCTCCTTCATGTTTTTAAAAGTGTCATGTCAGTCTTATGCTATCATATAAAGTATTACTGGATATTTTGACTATAAAGTTGAACTGTAACTGTACCCTGATTCAATTTAACAGAGAATTACTTTATTCATAATCCAAATAGTAATGGTTGAATAATCTTAATAATTACTAATTATATCAACCTAACATTGATGCAAACATTGATTCCAAGAGATATATTTATTAATAATTAAGAAATATGTTTTCCTTTCCTTTATTTGTATGTTTCCGGTAAACATTTGTCTAATGGAGCGCTGAACTGGATGCAGAACTGTTTAGATATTGATGGTTTTTCAACCATTTTTATCAATTATCTACAAGAAAAAACTAAATAAAGTATTTGAATAATAAACTATATCAGCCTGTTTTATAATTTTCATTAAGAATTAATTAAATTTTAATATATTTTATTGCGTTTTAAGATTTGCTGCAACGCAGAAGCCAGACAAATTGTAAAAATCAAAAGAAAGTGAATAATAATGTCTGGAATTAAACAGAACATCTTTAACTTTGTAGGATCCCAGAATTTATGTAAAACATGGAAGATGTTAGCATCATACATTCCTTGTGCAATCTGTGGGTCAAAGGTCAATCTGTCAAGTTTTATTGGGTCGTTCTTCGATTCTAATTTTATGACGATTTCTGGAAAACAGACTCTTGTTGCTACGTAACCAAACCAATCCTCAGTCTGTTTGAAAGCAAAACTAAAAACAGGAAGTAGTTCTCTAAGTGGATCTTTACAGGAACAAACTTTTCTCATGACTCAGAAAAATCTGTCTGTCAGCAGCATTTACTGATTCACTGAACTGGAAATATGAAAAGAGAAAAACCAACCAGGAACAACTGGGAGATAAATATAACATTTACATCAGCAGCAGAACGTTGTTAATCTGAGAAGCTGTGGGTTTAAGCTGGAAGTTCAGAGCAAAGCCTTAAATAATCAGTACACATTTTTATTAAAATACATCTGGAGTAACTGTGAAAATGAGAAACGTTTTAATTGTAGATAAAATTATGAATAAGCTTNTCCCAGCTGCTTTCTATAAAGATGGCTCCTCCATTGGTGATGGACCATCAGGCAGTTTCACTCTCAAATCAGCGAAGAGCTCTGATGATGGCCTCTATAAGTGCAGCATCAGCGGTCAGGGAGAGTCTCCATCCAGCAGGGTCTCTGTCATAGGTCAGAGGTCATCCTCTAACAGTGTATCTCACTGGTAATCCAGACTCTGGTGATATTTAAACCATCTATCTTCATATATCTTCTATTCTAGGGGAATCAACCATCCCTCCACCCTCCCCTTCTTCATCCTCCTCTGCCTCAGGTCAGCAGCTTCCCTTCAGTTTAACATGAAGACAATAATCACTGTGATCATTTTTCTGCTGATCAGTTTTATTGCAGCTGTTATTACTGATCAGAAGTTCTACCTTTGTTTTTATCGGTCATAAAGATAATGGTGTCAGAATATTTTCTCCTCATTGTACTTCATGAAAAGAAAACTTTGACTGGACCGTCTGCAGACTCTGCTGCCCTTCATGTTCACTGATGTATTTATGTTTGGTTGTGATGTTACTCTGAAACCTGAAGCCGTTTCCTCAGTCCCTTTGCTCTAGCAGATATTTTCAGATGTAGCTTGGATATGTTGCCTTGTTGTATTATTTGCTCTCCTGGCTGTTTTAGTTCATGTGAATATCCTGTTTTTTTACACCAGAACCATCAGTTTCAGTGTCGCTGTAGAGAAGGAAGCACAAGAGGATAAAGATGAAAGTCATGTTCTTTTTTCCAGTAACTTTTTACCCCAATCAAATCTATTTACACAAACAAACCAACTGAACCGCATCTCCCAGGGTTCATTGCGCTGGAGGCCATGATTTGCTTGTAGTTTGCTGCTTTAACTTGGTATTAAAGAATCCAAAATTTCTTTAATACTCCAGATTAAAGAAATTTTGGATTTTTACTTTTTTTTACTTCATTTTTCTACTTCCAAGCTGAACCTAGATGACTCTGTTCAACACTGAGGCTCTCGGCAAACTTCTGCAAGAAATGAAGTGATAGAAATAAAGATTAATTAGCTGGAGGTGAACATTGAGGTTCTGGAAATGAAACAATCCCAGGATCCTCTGGGAGTGACATCATCCCTACAAACAAGATGGAGTCTGCCTTCATCAGCGTGGAGCAAATGACTCACTGGAAACATATGTAGAATCAATCTAGGTTTATGTTATAGTACATATCAGCAATAAGGCAGTTCAGACAGCTTCACATTATAAAATCACATTATGCTGTAAATAACAAGAAGTCTTTTATCCAAACACAATGTAAACTATAAGAAAAGTTCTGCAGGTTCTGCTTGCTGGACCAGCAGGAGAACAATGATCCCAAACACACAGATAATCAGCCGCTGCTCATGATCCCGTCTCCTTCAACACCAGCAGGTCTGAAAACGCAGACAGCTCATCAGAAATGTCATCGCCTGCACTGACGCTTCTTTCTCCCAGTGACAGGATGAACCAGCGTGTTGCTAAGTACGTGTCTGTTGAGTAGAATCGCCTGGTTCTGGTTCGAACCTGAGCTCAGAGAAAGTTGACTTGAGGTGATGGTGGCATGTTGTGAAGAGCAGCTACCAGAACCAAACAGGTTCCTTATTAATAATTCTCCAAAACACTGTGGACATGATGAGGTTGTAGCCGTGGCATGAGGTCAGATGTGCTTAGGATTTCTGACGTGGAAGAGGAAATGATTCTCACTGACGTTCTGCTGCTAAGCTTAGAAATAACCTGAGAGTCATTTCTCTACAGGTCGGATGTCTCTGTCTGGAAACTCGGCAAACCAAGGTTAGAACCTGATTCTGTCTGTTTCAGTCGGACTCCTGCAGGAAGTGGAACATATTTAACCTGCGTTCTTCCTCACAGGTCCTCTGACTGTGAATCCCAGCAGATCTCAGTTCTTTGAATTTGAATCTGTGACTCTGACCTGTGAGGACGATCGGACCGTATGGAGTAACACAACCAGAGGAACCAAGAAGCAGTGTGGAGATGCATGGGGAACAGCAGACGGCTCTACATGTAAAATCACCTTGTTATCATTTGACGCTGGTCAGTACTGGTGTGAGTCCACATCTGGATCCATCAGCAGCAGCATCATCCATCTCAACATCACTGGTAAGATCAGACTGTGGAGTTAGTGTTGCTGTGTGGAAATGGATGAAATGCTGTAGTTTGTCTCTGTGTTGAGGTGGATCAGTGATCCTGCAGAGTCCTGTCCTCCCTGTGAAGGAGGGAGATGACGTCACTCTGAGCTGCAGAGCAAAGAATCAACCCCAAAACCTCCCAGCTACTTTCTATAAAGATGGCTCCTCCATTGGTGACGGAGATGCAGGTAACTTCGTTCTCACCAAGGTGAAGAGCTCTAATGAAGGCCTCTATAAGTGCAGCATCAGCGGTCAGGGAGAGTCTCCATCCAGCAGGATCTCTGTCTCAGGTCAGGAACCAATACCAGATGGATCAACCATTAATCAATCCACCAGTTAACACGTTCCTCTCTTTATTCAGCTCCCAGCAGCACGGTCTCTAACTGAGCGTCTGGCCTCTCAGCCTGGGCAGAAGCTGGAAGACAAAGCTGAAGATGTTACTGAGAAGTTTCTCCTGTAACTGAAACAGATATTATCATGTATAATGATGTTGGTTTGAAATATTAATTCATTTATTCGTTAGTTCTGCCCAGGCACACAAACCTCTGAACAAACAAAGGAATAAACTTTAATCCTGGTTTTACTCAGAACTCTGCAGAAGGAGCCTTTTAATTGCAGGTTCCCTGAGACTGCTGTCACAAATCTGAGGCTGTTTGGTTCCTCAGAGGGAAAGAAGGGAAATGGTCCAGAGCGGAGAGATGCAGCCTCATCGATTCTGGCCTCATGCCTTCAAAACGCCTCTGATGAGCTGAGAAACAGAGCTGCACCTTTTCTGGACATCAGTGGTTCCTGACACTGACTGAGACGTCTGAACGGCTGAACCCACCGATTCGTCAGAGGCTGGTGTCTCCTGGGCAGAAATAACAACTTAGGACAATCAGTTTAAGTGATTTTGTATATTTTTCTGCATTATTTCAAAACTCCTGTTCAGAATGGAGCAGGTCTAACATGCTGCAGCTAAAGCTAACAGTTTGTACGGTTAAAACTTCATTCCAAGGAGTGTTTTTATCACTGATAGTCTGGTCGAACTTAGGTAATCTCTGTTATGGATATTTTCCTTCACTTTCATACCACATACATCCAAAATGTCCCAGTTTAGATCTAAGCTAACCGTGGCTAAAGGCTAAAGCATTAAAAACAGCTGCAGCGAACAACAATGCTCTTCAGCAATTACTGTTATTTTCTGAGTTTTGAAAATAAACAGGAAAATATTACATTTCCATGTTAATTAAGCATCAACTCTTCATAAAGCTTATTGATTTATAAAAGATATAGCTATTAAATTAAAAGTTTAAAAATAATTACTTTTTCAAAATAAAGTTCTGGCTTTTGCTTTGTGAAATGGTCTCAGCATATTTACCAACTTTGTCAATTTCTCTAAACTAATTCTGAATTAATTTACATTTAATTGGTTTAAACCAGTCTTTCTCAAACTGTGGTTCCCGGACCACAGTTTGGTCCGCGGGCGCCCCTAGTGGTCCGCGAGGTACTGCATGTAAACCACCGTTTCTCTCCCGTGACGTCAGCTCAAAGTGTGACGCCACAGCTAGCTTGCCAATGGATTGTGTTAAAAAATAATGATGGAAAACTGGCTTAAAACCGGGTCACAAAAAAGAAAAGCTGCAGATACCGATGGGAAGGAAACAACGGCAGGAATATTATATGATCAGAACCTGATGTGCATGTTTGTTGAATAAAGTATTTTAATATTCATCTGTTAATAAACTCATATATTAGAAATAAGTTGTCTGTATTTATTCCACACATGCAGAATATTGTTGTTCTTATAACACCAGTACTGAACTTATCTATTATTTTAAAACAAATATTTATGAACAATAACAGACTCAAACATTTTTCAAACTCTGCTACCAAATTTAGTTTTTCACTGTTTTTGTCAAAATATTTCTTTACAAGTTGAAACAAAATAAAGTGTTACAATAATAAGCTATCATTCTATAAACTTTCTCCATAACAATGTTCTTCTGTTAATATTTGATTTTAAAATTTGTGTATTTGATTTTAACATTTTTAGTCTTTCTCCAGATTTACCGTCCAAACAAAAATAAAAACAATTTGAAGTAATAACATCTGGAATTAAACAGAAAATCTTTAAGTCTTACATCAAATATCAAAGCATCAGATGAAACTTTAGAGATTTTAACATGATACATTCTCACCATGTGCCAAAATAAATCTGATTTTTGGTTTCTAGTTCTTCTTTCTGCAGTTTCAAGGCCGTTTCCCTTTAATCAGAAACTTATCATTTCACAACCAAACCAATCGGCTGGGATTTTAAAGCAAACCCAAAAACAACATTTAGTTCTCAAAGCAGTTCTTTATAGTAACAAATATTTCCAAAAACCCACAGAAAGACATTTAAACTGTTCTGAAACATGTTCCCATGTAAGAATTGCATAAATATTACTTTGGTTTAGACTTTCTGATTAGCTGCACAGGAAATGTGCAAAAACATAAATAGATCAGAAAGTAACTAAGTAATAAAAAATAATATGCACACCTGCTGCTGCAGAAATAAATACCTGACAAAATGAGGAAGCAGAAAGTTTCACTGGTGAAGTTCAGAAGAACACCACAAATATTCATATTTCACAAAATATGTTGAGCAACAGTTGCTGCTATAATTGAAAGTTTTTAATTGTTCAAGAAATTTAATAGGATGTTATTAAGGAATACAGATTCATTTAGTCTCCATGTGATGCTGAGTTTGTGGGTTCCTCTCCTCTGCTCTCGTCTTTTATTGTTTCCTGTTTTGATCCGCAGAGAAAAACTCTGAGATCCTCTGACATGCAGAGATCCAGGAAGAGGAAGAGGATGTTTTCAGTGAGTGTCAAACTGCTGCTGGTCTCAGTGGATCCAGCTGCAGGATGGAGGGAACATCTGTCCACAGGCTGCTGGGTGAGTCCATCTGCTGGATGTGTTGGTGTGGAAATGTGGAGAGACGATCACTGCTGCTTCCCACAGCAGAGCTGATTAAAGCTCCAACTAACCTGAGACTCATTTCTCTGCAGCTCTGATCTCTCTGCTGAGCCGCTCAACAAACCAAGGTTACAACCTGATTCTGGTAACTCTAGATCTAGATTTTATCCTGGGGAGCTGATGAAATGATGAATGTTTTATTATTTCAGCTGCTCTGACTGTGAGTCCCAGCAGATCTCAGTTCTTTGAATTTGAATCTGTGACTCTGACCTGTGAGGATGGAAACAGCTCTGATGGAGGGACTGTGAGGAGAAACACAACCAGAGGAACCAGGACTGAATGTGTTTGGTGGGGGAAATCAGTTGGTTCTACCTGCAAAATCAGCTACTTGTTCCCACATGACTCTGGCCTGTACTGGTGTGAGTCCATGTCTGGATCCTCCAGCAGCAGCAGCAGCATCCAGCTCTCTGTCTCTGGTAAGATCAGACTGTGGAGTTAGTGTTGCTGTGTGGAAATGGATGAAATGCTGTAGTTTGTCTCTGTGTTGAGGTGGATCAGTGATCCTGCAGAGTCCTGTCCTCCCTGTGATGGAGGGAGATGACGTCACTCTGAGCTGCAGAGCAAAGAGTCCAGCCCACAACCTCCCAGCTGCTTTCTATAAAGATGGCTCCTTCATTGGTGATGGACCATCAGGTCACATGACCCTCCTCCATGTCTCCAGCTCTGATGAAGGCCTCTATAAGTGCAGCATCAGCGGTCAGGGAGAGTCTCCATCCAGCAGGATCTCTGTGGAAGGTCAGAAACTTCTCCTAAAGTTTATTTGATTCATTTACAATCATTAGTATCACTTATTCTCTTCTTCCAGTGATGTTTCTGGTATTAAATGTAAATCAGCTTCAGTATTCCTCATTTCTGACCTCAAATACTCTAAAAACAAACAGCAGCTGCTTCCACAGCTTTGCTTCATCAAACCTGTGGTTCGTCTATCAGATCTGATGGCTGTGGTACAGCCATAAGCTGCTGCTCCATCAGTTATTCTGTTAGGGCCTTAGTATGGTCAATCATCCTCATGTGGGTGCTGCTCACACCTCCTGCTGAACATCTCCTCCCTCACAGAAGAGCATGCCATGAATGTTCAGGCTAGTTAGCATGATCACCAGTAATGGAGAATAAACAGTTTTCCTGGGGCAGTAAGTTGTTTTTCTGCCAGTAACACTTTCACAAGTGTGATTGACAGCGCTAAGATCTCTGTTATGGCTTTGATGGGTTATTTTTGACCGGAAATGGCAGCATTAGCAGAGGCAGGAGGTGGATTAGCTTCATTTTTCACAGATTATCTGTCTCATGTTGTTCCGTCACAACATGGTGATATTTTTACCTGCAGGAAAACATCCAACCACAGCCACGCCCACCGCTGAAGCCACGCCCATCGCTGAAGCCCCGCCTCCTCCTCCCTTCTACCACCACGTCAGACTGCTCTTCCTCCTGGTGGTGATTTGTCCGTACATTATACCCACTGTCCTCATGGTGTCTTTATTTCGCCAGAGAAACAAAGGTAACACTTTAAATAACTCACTGATCTGAAAATCTGTCAGTCAGTTCATCAATTAATTGATTGATTTTATGTTTTCTTGTAAAATATTTCTCTAAATTCAGCAAACAACCCGCCTGTGTCAGAGGAAATGACCCCATCCTTCCAAGCTACGCAGGAATTGGACGATGTGTATGAAAACGTCATCATTGGTGTGACCACAGAGCATCACTTCTGACATAAACTGGTTTCCAAACAGCAGAAATGTCAAATAACTGCTTTACAAAACTCCAACCAAGAAATCTCTAAATAAAATAATTTCCCAACAAACTAACTGGACTGGATTTTCTGAATTAAAATTGGAAGTAAGCTCACTAGCAGCTGCTTCTTTAGAAAATGGTTTCAATAAATAGATGACATAAATAAATGTATGTATGTATGTATGTATTTATTTATTTATTTTTAGTTGGGGTTTTTTGCGTTTTTATATTGAGAAATCAAAAACACATTCATTTATATTTTACATAAAACACGGCTATATTTGGTTTTTTAGTGTAATACTGAGAATCCAAAAACACATTTTCAGTTTAGATTCCTAAAGATTTCCTCCACTTTTGGTCACTAAAAAGTATTTTATCGTGTGAAACACTGAGTAAGTGCCAGCAGGGGGCGACAGCGCACCGTAACAGCATTAAGCTCCACTTGTGCTTGGCCAGAAGAAGCAGCTGCAGTAAACACAGCGGGCAGTGGATGACGTTTCTCCTGGAACAGTGAACCATATCGGGCTCAGAGATGAAGGAGGACCCGGTGGAGAGTCCCGTTGAGCGGACCCAAGCGGACTTTCTGCGGGGGTTTGTCACCGAGAGGCTCGCCGCGGTGTCCCGGGAGATCCTGGCGGCGGTGGAGACGGTGGTATCCGGATATGAGGAGGAGGCCTCGGGGTTCCGTCTGGAGATCCGCCGGCAGAGGAAGCAGCTGGACCTGCTTCAGAACCAGCTCACTGTCGGAACAAATGGTTCGTGTCTTAAATCTAACAGAGCACTGTGCCACATGAAGAACTCTGTTCAATATTCAAAGTTTTTAAGCTTTTTTCTACAAAATACTCCGTTTTGATACAGTTAGAAACAAAACTAAAGATTATATTAAAACGCTACATCATTTTCTTTAATTCGGCTCTTTTTGCAATGCTGATAAATAAACATTTACCCTATTTCTTAAATAATTTGATGTATTTCCAGATTTACCATCCAGCAGAAGCGATGGATCAGCTGAGGAAGAGGAGGATTGTCAGAGCCAGACTGCTTCATCAAGGTTCCTGCAGCTGATCTGATTCAGTAGCTGATCTATTACACACAGACTGGTTTGAATCTTTTCCATTAACTTGGTACTGCTGCTGTTCCTCTTTCAGCTCTTCATCGCCTCAGTCTGACCGAAGGAAACCTGGCAGACCTCAGATCAGTGACGCACAGAGCGCCATACACCTCAGCATCCGCATCCTGAAGGACTCCAACATCAGCATCCTGTCCAGAAACGGTACCTTCCCCCACTGACCTGTTTATTTATCCCAGAGAAAAAAAACGTCCACAGATGTTCAAGCTGTAATTCATTTTCATTTTTCCTCGTTTCTTGTGACTCTGTCTGGTTTTTTCATAATGTGTCTGGATTCATGCTGATGTAAACGCAGCAGTGACTTTATTCTGTCTGTCTGTGTTTCTCTGCTTCCAGTGGTGAAGAAATGTCCTCTGGTGTCCCTGACGTGTCCTCCAGGCCTGCAGGAGTTGGACTTTCTGAGCCTGCTCAGGTCTGCTGTCCCCCAGCTGGCTGCAGACGACAAACCGTTTCACATCTTAACGTTGGATAAGAGGCGGAGACTTCAGCGTCTGACTCTGAAGACGGTGACGCCTGAGGAGATCGTCAGAAACGTCAGACCCACACGACTTAGAGAGCCTGCAGTCTACATTAGACTGGAGGTGAAACAGAACTTCTGGCTCGTTTTGTTGCTCTGCAGCTTTTAGTTTTCAGGTTCTGATGTTTTTTTTTCTTTTCCAGACAAAGAAGGAAACTCAGGAAGAAATTCCTTCTCTTCAGATGGAGAAAAGTTCTGCCATGTTGGTCTGTGAGGAAACTAAACAACCAAAGGAGACGAGGTAGGACGTCCAGAAGGTCGATAAATTCTAGCTTTTATTCATTTGATTATGTAACAAAAAACCTCAGTAATTCATAAAAACAACAATTTGGATGTTTTATTGCTTGAAAAGGCATAATTCTGTAAAACTATTGTTTTGGGACTAAATACTTTAGGATTAATGAATAAATAAAGCTGATTATCATCAACATTTCTACAGAAATATTTAATTAAACAAACAATTTATTCTTTTTCTTGGTTTAATTGGTTTTCTTGGATGGACATCATCATCACAACATCATAGGGAAACAGAAGACGACTGTCTGATGATGTCAGTGTCAGGTGACGACTCCATGGCGCCCCCTGCTGCTCCAATGGACAGAGATGATGGGAATGAAGGAGAGACAAACAGAAGCGACAGCAGCTGGAAGCTAGATGTTAGTGATGATCGGGAAAAGAAAGACGCCGAGCTCATTAGTGAGAAAGAAGACGTCAATCCGTCTCATTGGACAGAAACTGAGAGGGCGGCTGCTTTTTCCTGTAAGGTCTGTGAAGCTGCCCAGAAATCTGAGGTTGCTCTCATTAAACACGCCTGGAGACACCTGGAGGAAGCAGGAAGTGTTTGTGGAGTCTGTGGAGAGTCAGGTGAGGCATCAGAGGATCATTTTCATAGTGAGCACAGAACGGATGACTGTCCCAGCTGTGGAGAGTCTTTTCTCAGTGTCCTCAGTCTGAATGAGCACCTGAAGGTCCATTCAGGACAGCAGCCTGTCCAGCCTGAGGTTAGCTCGTTTACGTCTGGGTTGCCTCCGGAGAACAACCACAAACTCAGTCATGAATGCCCCACCTGCCACAAGCTGTTTGAGGTGGAGACGCAGCTAAACGCTCATCACAGGACGCACAGGAAATGTAAAACGTACCTCTGTGGAGTCTGTGGCAAATTCCTGAGCAGCAACAGATCTTTGTCCCGCCACAAGATGACACACTCTGGAGAAAGACCCCACAGATGCCAGGTCTGTGAGAGGGGCTTCAAGCTGGCCACCACTCTGAAGCAACACGAGAAGATTCACATGAACAGAGAGAGACCGTACCTCTGCGACGTCTGCTGCAAGATGTTCCTGACCAGCAAGCAGCTCGTCATCCACATGAGGACGCACACCAACGAGAAGCCGTACCGCTGCGACCGCTGCGGGAAGGGCTTCACCACCAGGGGGCCGCTGACCATACACATGCGGGTCCACACCGGGGAGACGCCGTACCGCTGTCCTCACTGCGGCTGGTCCTTTAAAAGGAAGACTCACCTGGACGACCACGTGGCAATCCACACAGGAGCCAAACCCTACGTGTGTGGGATCTGCGGAAAAACGTGCGCCAGGAGAGCTTACCTCACCGTCCACATGAGGACGCACAACGGAGAGAGACCGTACAAGTGCTCCCTGTGCGAGAAGGCCTTCACTCAGAGCCACTGCCTGAAGACGCACATGAAGAGCCACAAGGCTGCACAGGCGGCATCGTAGAAACTTTGATCTGCACACAGGACTCTTCAGTATTTATCATCATGACTCTTAAACTGTTTCTGGCTTTAAAGCTGAAATATCTCCAATAAAATTTAGCAGGAAGTCCTTGTTGGGTTTTTCTTCCTCATCATAAACAATTCTTGGCAATAAAGTAATTTCAATAATTTATAGAGAAACAAGAAATATCAATGATAAAGATTTAAAATCCAGTAAAACAGGTCTTTATGTATAATCTTTACAATGAGCTGCCTCTTTATCCCAAATAATGAGGCAGCTCTTTATTTAAATATTCTCACAAAATGCAGAAGAAATTGGAAACTGAAATTGATTTACATTTTTCTGGTTTATTTCTATAAACAGCTTCACTAATAGGATTTTTACTCAATGCTAAAGTCCTCTAACTATGAAGGGATGTCAGTGTTCAATAACTTTAACATATTCTTATCTATTGCGAGAAAAAGGTTTTTTTTCTTCCAACACTTTCAGTCAAACGGTGCTGGAGTGTTTTTCCAGTGATTTTGAAATAAACATTAGCATGATTAGCATGATTAGCATGCTAACTGAAGTCTGAAGGGAAGCTGTTGTGTCTTTTGTCTTTGCATTTCTCTAGGAAGGCGGGTAACTAACTGGTCACTCTGATGTGTGTAACTTCAGTTATGAGGCAAAGATTTAAAGTGGAGAAGTAAAAACTGAAAAATAAGAATTCATTCTGGTGAAAATGTTATCAAATCACCATACAGTCCATAAATACAAACAAATTAAGAAAACCTGATAATAAAAGTATTTTATTAATGAATCTGTGTGTTTGTGACAAACAAATGAGACAATTTCATTTGTTGGAGGCAAACAAATTTTCCTCATCACTGTTTTAACCTGAAACCAGGCAGAGCAGCAGAAACAGCAAAACATCCCAGAAATGATCACTTTTAGCATCAATTCCAACTATAAATGTACAATAGTTTAAAATATCATGTTGTATGTAATAAAGAACACACTACAGCTTTAATACTGCACACACTGAGATCCAGTGTTCTTCCAGAGGTTGATGCACTTCAGGTATTCAAAGTTCAGTCACGAATAATTTCACTGTTGAATCAGCTGCATTTTGTCTGCATATTAAAACAAACATCTTTCAGACCTTAAATGATCCCAGGAGAACAAGGTGTGTATTCAAATCCTGGTCCAGAGATCAGCACACCTGCTGCTCTGTGTGATGACAGCAGTGGCTCTTTTACACCTGGAATTGTTTTTGTTTTTTTTATGAATTCTTTCTCATGACCAAATTCATTTGGTTGATCTAAACTTCAACATAATTAATAATCACATTGTAGCTTAATGACAAAATAAAACAATGTCTAAGTTTTTAGGATAAACATCTGGTGCCAAAAATCAAATGTAACTCATTTCACTGCAACAGAAAAACCAGGAGGCTGTAGAACAAAAACCTTTTATGAAAAAACATGTTTTTTATTTGGTTTGTTTTTTTATTGGTGGAACAAAACCATGGTGAATGGAGATGCAGCTACTGATGGTCTCAGGTTAGTTTGACATCTACAGTTTGATGCGACTGTTGAATTTCATCACCGTTTCTTCATCCAGACTGACTATTCCTAACTATTACTCACCCTGACCTAAACTAGTTGTTTCCACTTCCTTTGTACTCAAAAGATGATGATAATGATGAAGCCTCACCTTTGCTTTCTCCAAAGCTTCAGTACTTTAACTAGATGAGTTAAAATGCATAAATATTGTCGCTGCAGGCTAGGAGTTTAAAATGTGCTCTGGCAGTTCCCCTGTTGCACTGGCCAAACTTTTATATCTCTATAAGACTTTGTGGAAGAAAATAAAACCTCATTCTGACTCATTGCTTTGTTTGCAGCATCGGAGTTTTCCTGCCCGCTGTAGAAACATCAGTGGTAAAATCAGACTGCTAGGAAGCTCAAACCAAATGTCAAACAGAAACATTGCACACTCGGCACTTTTGTTCTGCTGAGTCGACATGAACAGGATGGTGCTCACTGAGTTTGCCACCAGCCTGAGCAGGAGAACAACTGTTATGGCTGTAAGAGCGTAGAAAGCTCTTCTCTTTGATTGGTCGATGTGATTCTTTCTGCCCTGTTCCCCCGGTCCTGGCCGCTTCAGGGCGCAGAGGACCGAAACGCTGCAAAACGACACGATAACCACATGCGCTCCAAAACTGCAGACGCTGGTGATGAGGTTGAGCTTATGGCTGCCCAGACTGAACTCAGTCAGATTCAGGAGGCTCAGCAGCCAAACGCATGCCGAGCAGATCCTCCTCATCCTCACTCCAGCTGCTGGTCTCAGTGTCATGTAGGTCACAGGCTTCACCACGGCGACGTAGCGCTCCACGCAGGTCAGCAGCTGCAGCAGAGACTGTCCCAGAGCGGAGACGGGCCAGGTGCAGAGCCCGGTCACCATCATCGGGTGCAGGTTGTTATAGCTGCCAAAGCACAGCACCGAAAACCCCACGAACAAATTCAGCTGCAAGGCGACGGAGTGGAGGAGGAAATGGTCAGAAGAACGGTGCTGCTGCTGCCTCAGCCGTCTGCAGGCCAGGCAGAGGATGAACACAAAGAACGGCAGAAGGAGGAAGATGATGATGCACAAAACAGAGAAGATGTAGAAGTTGGCCGTTGACTTGAAGCAGTCGTTCATCAGCAGGTAGAGAGTGAACAGGTGAGTATTTGGCATGGAGCCGTCGGCAAGAGAAGAATTAGTCGACATGTTCCTTTAAAGGGGTAGGAAGACCTTGAGGAGAGGAAAAGCAGATGCAGATGACAGAAAAAAGAGCTGAATTTTCCTTTGAATGCGACAATTTTTAAATTCTTGCGCCACTTCAGATTAAAGGTATTAATGGAAGAAAACCTCCAGACAGAGGAACCTGATAAATGTGAAGTAATCTGTCCATCCCACCGTAGATGATGCTATAAATTATCTAAACATCAAGACACTCCAACTCCTCCACTAAAGGTAAAGATCAACTCTTTGTTCCTGTTAAAACAGCCTCAGAGTTCAGGACATCTTAACTCAGCTTTCATGTCAACACCATAAAAATCATAACAAATCTGACAATAAATATTTAAAATTAGGTTAAACGTCACAAGGTAGGATCACTAAAATAACCGCTCACCAGGACAAAGTCTCTGGAGCTTCGGTTTGTTGCTCATGTCTGGATGAAGGTTTGAACTAGGACTTTTACTCCTGACTGTGTCTGTAAATGTTGCTGCTAACTTTGCATAATGCAAGAATTTAGGACACATTTTATGGTACGTTGCAAAAGGCAAATTTATTCTTTCAATGTTTTTTTTTCTACTGACAAGCAAAGCGATAAAACAATTTGAATATTATGTCCCATCATGGTGGAACTGTTGCCTTAAAACAAGAAGACAATGGAGTCAGATTTCATCTTCCTGCAGAATCTGCAGGTTCTGTCATTCATGTCTCCCTGCTAAACACATTTAGATATAAAAACATACAAAACCTCACCAGGTCTGACCTCATAAGTAACTTTGATTAATAAGCATCCATGATAAATATTGGGCTTGTCTTTTCTACAAGCCAGTAAAATCCTGTTTCTTTTTATGATGGAAACTTTCAGAGGAAGTCGGTGAACATCAGGAATGAAAAACAATTCCTATACTTTCAAGATTAATAGACTTTACAAACTTCTCTGTTTCGTTTCCGTATTCTTCTTTTGCTCATTTTACTGTTAAATAAAAGTCTTGTTTTTATAAACTTCATGCATTATTCGCACAGCAGAGCTTGTTATTTTCTGCTCTGTACAGAAACAGCAGCGGAACCGCCAAGCTGCTGGGCAAACTGAACCAAACTACACATGAAGCAACCAAACACCAATCACTGTAGCTCATCGAAGTAGAAACTTTCAAAGCAAAGCAAACAAAGTATCCAAAGAACAACATCCACAGAGCTGCTGTTATAGTAATTATGGTTCTGAAAGCCTTTTTCTTTGAGCGGTCGACCCGGTCTCCAGTCACGTCCCCAGGCCTCGGACGGACCAGAACCCGGAGAACCGAGAGGCTGCAGAAGGAAACGACGGCAAAACTGAGGCTTGATAAGGAGAAAAGTTGGAAAAAGGGGATGGCAGGGAAGTAGAGGATGACCAGCGCCCCCCAGGCGAGAGCAAAGAGCCAGACGACGCCGACGCAGACGTTTCTGATCCTGACTCCGCTCGTGTTTTTCAGCTTCAGGTAGGTAATCGGGTGGATAACAGCCAGGTATCGCTCCACACAGGTCAACACGTGGAACAGAATCTCCCCAACAACAGTCAGTGATAACATAGAGAAACCAACCACAGAGAGGCTTGGGACGACATATCCCAAAAGGTAGCAGACCAGGCCCGGTGCTTCGGTCAGCTGCATGACGACCATGTGGTAGGTGATGACGTCACAGTGGCTGATGGGCTGCTGCCGCTGCCACCGCCGCCGGTGACCCAGGTACAGGACCCACACGGCAAAAGGGACGATGAGGACGGCTCTGGTGATGAGGAAGGCGGTGGCGGAAACGGAAACATGGGATTCCTGGCAGTAGTTGGACTGGAGATGAACTGACTTGTTGGACGGGACGGACCAGTTGACGATCATGTCAACAGTCTGAGGATGACGTGTACGGAGGACAAACGCTGCAAAGCAGAACACAACAGCAGTAAAGGCGCCGGTCCAAAGTCAATGTTGGGTTATGGTAAAAAAATAAAACAAATCACTCGATTTTAGCCAATTAACTGATGTGGAGAAGATGTCACTGAATAAATGTTCGTCTATTTCTAATGATTGAAATGTCAGTTTATTATTGGGTAGGAGTTTATTATGTTTTAAACTAATAGGCTGACATGAATCAATATTGATTCCTTAACTTTGATTCCATATAAAATCAACCAAATGCAGAAGGTGGTTGAATCAACAGTTTCAGTTATGGTTGACATCCTAACGTTGACTCAACATGTGAGTCTCCAACCACTTTCCATATAATTTAAAAGTCAGGCTTCAACATGGAGTCAATATTTCTAACCATATTTCAACGTTGATTCACTCATATTTTGCTCTCTGGAACACAAAAATATTCTT